CATCAGGGTAGGAAAGAAAAGCCTACCATCTGTTCTGGCCAGAGGGATGGAGATAGATGTCAATTCTGCCACAATCACTGAAGATGATTGGAGAAATCCTATCATGACCTATCTACGATATCCAACTTTGCCCTCTGAGAAGAGAGTCAGAATCATGGCTTTAAACTACCTTATGTGGAATGAAGATTTGGTCCGAAAGAGCAAGGATGAGGTGCTTTTAAGGTGCCTCGGAAAGGAAGAATACATGAAAGTTATGGGGGAAACCCATGAAGGAATCTGTGGAGCACATCAAGGTGGGAGAAAAATGTGCTGGTTAATTAGGAGATATGGCTACTTCTGGCCAACCATGATGAAAGATTGCATTAACTATTCCAAGGGGTGTGAATCTTGTCAAAGACACGGCCCCGTCCAGCAGGCTCCATCAGTTCCCATGAATCCAGTGGTAAAACCATGGCCCTTTAGAGGATGGGCAATGGATCTCATTGGTAAGATCTATCCAGCCAGCAGCCAGCAGCACTGCTTTATCATTGTTGCCACAGACTATTTCACTAAGTGGGTGGAAGCCAAGGCTGTTAAATCTACTACATCTCAAGAGATCATCACTTTCATAGCAGAGCAGATTATCCAAAGATTTGGCATCCCAGAATCAATCACAACTGATAGAGGATCCTCCTTCATATCCGGAGAAATGCTGGACATGGCAGAGGCATTCAAAATCAGACTGCTCCAGTCCACTCCTTATTATGCCCAAGCCAATGGACAGGCGGAATCAAGCAACAAAGTGATCATCAACATTATCAGGAAAATGCTTGAGAAGAATCCGAAACAATGGCATGAGAAGCTGTCAGAAACTCTGTGGGCATATAGAACTTCAAAAAGAGAAGCGACTGGCATGACTCCCTATGCGTTAACCTACGGTCATGATGCAATTCTGCCTATGGAGATAGCTGTTCAGTCCCTCAGAATTGCTCACCAACATGACTTAGTAGGAGAAAACTACTCCCAGGCTATGCTGCTGGAACTGGAAGGATTGGATGCAGGCAGAATAGACACTCTCAACAAACTCCTGGCAGGAAAACAGGCTGTATCAAGGGCCTACAACAAGAGAGTCAGGGACAAGAGTTTTGAAGAAGGGGAGATAGTCTGGAAGGCAGTTCTGCCCCTCGGAACCCATGTGGCTGGTTATGGAAAATGGTTTTTCTAGAGAAGAAACAGTTTTTCTATAAATACAAGGAACAGTTTTTCTATAAATACAAGGAGGAGTGGACAGGGTAGAGGACACTCAAAAAATCAATCAGAAACAAAAACTCAAAATGACTTCAAAACACTGAAGCAACCAAAGCTCATTGAGCCAAGACACAAACAAACAACTCAACCAGAAGCTCACTTGAATTCCAAGTGAAAACCAGCTTTAGATTAGAATTCCCAAGGTTCAGACTTAGAAAATAAGTCATTCAAATTTCACAGTGCAGT